TTTCCCTTCCCCTCCCCAAATTATACCAACATCAAATACAGTGAAAACAAGAGTTATACCGTGGGGGAGGGACATACAAAGCAGCAAAAAAATCACTTTATAAATATGTTAGAGGACTAGGAAGGTGGCTCAGTGGTAGAGTGCTTGCCTTGCATGCATGAGGCCCTGGGTTCGATTCCTCAGACCACATAAGCAGAAAAAAAAAAAAAAGCTGGAAGTAGCGCTGTGGTAGAATGTGGTAGAGTATGGTAGAGTGTGTAGCTCAAGTGGTAGAGTACTAGCCTTGAGCTGAAGAGCTGAGGGACAGCGCCCAGGCCCAGAATTCAGGCACCTCGACTGGACCCAAAAAAATAAATAAAATAATGTTAGAAACAATAGCAAGAAGGAGAAAAACCACTTGTGTCCTTATCTTGGGGTTCATTTCGCCTAACATCATCTTATCTGACCTTTGTTCTCTGTTCTTATTTTTAAACGATCCTGCTTATATCTACTTAGTGCACTTGCTGGAAAATAGAATCCCTGTCTAGGAAGTTATGTAACAACTCTTCTTGGCAACTAGTATTTGGCAAACGCTTGACAGGAAACAGAAAGAGAAATAGCCAGGTATGAGTGGCTCATGCTTGTAATCCTAGCTATTCAGGAGGCTGAGATCTAAGGATTATGGTTTGAAGCCAATCTAGGTAGAAAAGTCCCTAAGTCTCTTATCTCCAATTAACCCTCAAAAAGCTGGAAGTGGAACTGTGGCCTAACCTCCAAAAAGCTGTGAAAGTGGAATGCTAGCTTTGAGTGGAAAAGGCTAAGGAACATGTCCAGGCCCTAAACCCAAGCCCCACTACCAGTGCTTGCGCATGTGTATGCACACACATGCACAAGTCTGCATAGGGATTAAGACACCATGTAAATATATATTGTGTTTGACTATGCCTCACCATGTGGCAAGTGTTGGGGTTAGGAATTTCTTGCAGTTTTTGTAGTGTTGTGTCTCCAGCAAATGCCAGATGAGTGAACCTATTATGAGTACTGATGTATGTTTTCTTCAGGCTTTGGGACAATTGCAAAGTAGAAGATCCCAGGCCTCTCTAATGCTCTCAGGCTGTAGGACTTAGATCTCTTGAGATATCATAAAAACAACAAAATTAGGAGAACCATTGAACTTGATTCCAACCAGCCTTGAAATTGATTGCTCAGTTTCTGGGACAACAGAGCAGAGATGTACACTAAACAATACCACAATGAAGGCATAGGCCAGATGTGGAACATGGGCAAATGATAATAGTTTTCTCAACAGAAGAGCAAAAAGAATGGAGTGAGAACTGTTACAGATGAAAAGAGTACTGAAAATGATATATTGTCCAAACTACGTTGACTTTATCTGAGCATTTTAATGTAAACAACAACTGGTAAACTGATTTGGATTTTAGTAGACACTGGTAGTGTAGTCAGATTTAGTTATTGTATTTATAGATTATTGTATTATAGATTTATAGGTTCTCTGGAAGAACCTGTGTGTGTGTGTGTGTGTGTGTGTGTGCACGCGCGCGCTGAGGTAATGTAGATAATTAAACTCCATTTATTTAAATTGTTTGAGGGTCTGTATTCACAGTTCTTTCAAAGATGGTAGATAGATTATATGGTTCTAAATACCAGAGTGTGAGTTAATACATTACATATAATTGCTCTGTTAGAACATAGGGTTTAATTTCCTCATGGAATCCCCGGTTAGGGGAGAATTGACATTATGTCTGATATTTGCTTTAAAGTCCTGAGTGGGAGGGATGTGGTGAGGGACAGTAGAGATCAGGGGGAAGTGAAATGGTCTATTTTTTTTTCTCTCTAGTTTTCTGTAGTGTAGGGTGTGGTGTTGAGTGATATAGGCAAATGGAGGAAAGAGATGGCTCTGTTGTGTGGGTGGGGCATCTTGTTTATTCAGTTTTCTTTATAGGCTCTTTTTGCTTCTTTTTTCTCTTCTTTTCTTTGATTCATGGAATGGAGTACAGATTGGAAATCTTCCCCTGTGGGATGTGCTCACTATTTAATGATAGATTTTTATTGCTGGGCCGGGCCTGCTATGCTTGTACTCTAGGAGAAGGACCAATGGGGTGTGAAGAGCCTACATTTTGGCCAGGCACCTGTCAAACTGAAAGGCATCTATTTCTGGAAACATAAGTTTATCTGTCTTTAGAGTACAATGTTGAAGCTAGAGGCAAGTGGCCAGACATTTCTCTTTGCCTTATTTAATCAGAGGGGCTGGTTCTGGCTCAGGACCACTACCATCTAGGTGGTAAGAATTTAAGCTGCTTACTCCCCCCCACCCCTTCCTCAAGTTCTCTTTTCTCTTAGAAGAACTCCATGGAAATGTACTCACAGGTGTTTCTGAGGATCTCACTGTCTTCTTCATCTGTGCCTGTCTAGATCCAAGAAGATTTGATCTCAGGTAAGCTGTCCTTTTGCAGGCTGGAAGAATTGATCAGCCCTTTTATCTTCGAGTCTGTGATCTGGGCAGGATTTCTCCCTTCTGATTCAGCCCTTTAACTAGGCTTGTTCTCAGATAGACAGTTGAGCAAAGGCAGTATTTCAGACTGTATTTCTCATTGTTTCCTAAACTCACTTATCAAGTTTACCAGCTAGGAATTTGTTATCTGTTGCATATCATGTTTCTGATGATTGCTGCCCTTTTCAGCAAAATAGTGGCTTGTCAGAAATGTTCTAATGCCTTGACCCTTGTTGGCCTGCATTTGATAGAACACAAGTGGTTAGGAACTGGGATGTTAGAACCAGTCAACCTCTAGTCTCCCTTGGGGACTTTGGGAAATATAGGTCTGACTATATTGTCTAAGGCACAGTTGTTGCTACAAGAGTTAGGTGGGGGCTGGGAAGGTGGCTCAGTGGTAGAGTGCTTGCTTTGCATGCAGGAGGCCCTGGGTTTGATTCCTCAGCACCACATAAGCAGAAAAAGCCTCAAGTGGCGCTGTGGCTCAAGTGGTAGAGCGCTAACCTTGAGCTGAAGAGCTGAGGGACAGCGCCCAGGCCCAGACTTCAGGCTCCATGACGATGACAACAACAACAACAAAAAAGAGTTAGGTGATCTTGATGTTACAGAAGCTTCAGAACATGGTAAACTCTCAATAATTATTAGTTCAAACAAAGCAATAAAAATCTGTCATTAAATAGTGAGCACATCCCACAGGGGAAGATTTCTAAGTATTATTATCCATATCTGTCAGATAGAGATACAAGGATCACAGACAGATGTTGATTAGATGTCTTAAATGACAGATTAAAAAGTCAGAATCTACATTTGTGAGATGACAGTTCCTAGTGAGAGGGGTGTGTGTGTGTGTGTGTGTGTGTGTGTGTGTGTGTGTGTGTGTGTGTGTGTGTGTGTGTGAAGTGTCTTGAATTCAGGGCCTAGGCTCTGTCTCTTAGTTTTTTCACTCAAGTTAGGTACTCTAACACTTGAGCCATAGCTCCACTTCTGGCTTTTTTTGGTGGCTAGTTGGAGATAATCTCACAGACTTTCCTGTCCACACTGGCTTTGAATGGCAATCCTCAGCCTCCTAAGTAGTTAGGATTATAAGCATGTGTCACCAGTGCCTGTAGTAACTTCCTTTTCTAAATCCATGGCTCCTCGAACTATTGGTAGTAAAGGACTGGTTTCTCTTATTCATTTTTTAATGTATCAATCAGTTGTAAAATATAATAAAATGGATTATAGAATAATATAATGATAAAAAAGACATTCAAAATAGAAGGCTCATTTTAAAATATTCTTTTTGCTAGGCATAGAACTATTGGATTCAATTATCATGCAAGTTCTTTTACTTATTGTAAAGGTGATGAACAGGAGAGTTATAGTTACAAAAGTTAGGTAATGAGTACATTAAAGTATGAGTCTTTATTTTTTATTTTTATTTAATTTTTGGTCTTGGAGCTTGAACTCAGGGCCAGGGCACTGCCTTTGAGTTTTTTTGCTCAAGGCTAGTGCTCTACCACATGATACAAGTTCTTTACACTCAATTTCTGTACTTATCTCAGACCTTAGACAACTTCCTCCGACTAATGCTTGTCTATAGCTCTCACTTTGGGAGAGCTACCTGTTTTTCAGAATCTGGGGCATAAACTGACCACTTATATTTTAATTAGGTTGGAGTTGTAGCTCAATGGTATACATGGGGTCCATCACCTTAAACAACAGAAAGCAATACAACACTCCATTGCTTAGCTCCACCCCAGACTATTTGGATCAGAATGATGGAGATAGAATTCAGGACTCTACTTTGTGTGGGTTTTTTTTTGGGGGGGGGAGAGGGTTGAGGGCAGGTGCATTCAAGGGTGTTGGTCCTGGAACTTGAACAATGACATGAGTTGTTTTGCTGAAGGCTTTTGCTCTACCACTTGACCCACAGCTCCAGCTTTTGATGGTTAACTAGAGATAAGAGTCTTACTTTCCTGCCTTGGCTAGCTTTGAACTGTGAATCTGAGTTTCAGCCTTCTGAGGAACTAGGATTACAGGCATGAGCCACTGGTGTCTGCCTTAGGAACCTCCTTCTTTCCTTCTTTCCTTCCTTCCTTCCTTCCTTCCTTCCTTCC